TTATAGCATGTGTTATAAAGGTTGTTAAGTTTAAAGTTTTAAGTTAATTCTGTGTATTATAAAAAGTTGTATCAAGAAAGAATAAACAGTTTTAATTAAGAAAGGACTTGTATCATTGAAATTCCCCCGGAAAGAATTTATACCAGAAATTAACAAACGAACAGATACGTAACACTATAGTCTGTGGTTTCCCAGTGATGGACACAGCAGATAGCCCAACGTGGTTTTGTTATAAAACAAACAATTTTAGTAAACCAAATACATTTAGTTGAGACTATATTATTTAAATGCTACAATAATTATTTAACAAACTTTATTATTAGTTCTGGGAGAAGATGTTGAGGAATAAAATTACTGATCCTCTCGATAGGTTGTCTAATCACAATCATTGTGAATTGTCCATCGTCAGATGCTTCTTTTGTGAAATACAAATTTATATATTGCAATTTCCCTGAAAGGAGGCCAATGCCCATGTGGAGAGGTCACTTGTTTTAACCACTTGCACCACTATACAGTAGTGTGTTGTCTTTCAGTCAGTCAGTAGACACTAACATTACATAAGGAACACTTGACGTTGCAATTTGTACTATCATGATGTCAGTGAAACATGCACATGCCATGAATCATGAGAAGAGTTATACACTCTGTAGGCTACAACACAGTATGACTAATGAACTTCAAAAGCAAGAAATCAAAATATTTGTTACTCTTAATTTTGGTTTTATTTACTCTTGAAACAGAACACTTTCGGGGACTCTGCTGAAGTACATCTAGTGAATACTGTTATTCTTTACCATTTTATTTTTGTCTGTAAAACAAAATATAAAATTATATGGAATGCTTTCATACAGATTTGTTTTTAGATAATGATTAATGAAAAAATTGATTCTTCTTCTGCTAATGGAATCAGGTGGTTTTATTTCTATTGTTGTACGTACGTTAGTGTATTAAAATAATTGTACTTTACTATAAATTTTTGTAGTTAATGTTAGAAAATCCATGAGACTGCAGATGGTGAAATTACTTTTCCAAATATCTTGGTTAACTACTGCATATGTATTTGTCTTTTAAAATTGCAACTAAAACATTACTGGAATTGTTTGTCTCTATATTTTTTTAAATCAATTTCATAATTTGATGAAAATAATTTTCAAAGTAAAGTTAGTTTTGTGTCACTCCATTTATATTCTTCAATTAGTTAATTGTGAGCATTCTGGGAATAAGAATTATTTTGAATAAATTTGTAGCTTTAGCTTTTTAATATATTATTACTTATCTACTTGTTAACTTTTTTGTATATTTCTCAGTGGTTTTCCTCTATTGATGATAATGGAAGAAGATATTTCTTTGCTGAAGATAGCAGTGAATCCTTTTGGGATCTTCCCAGTGTTTCACTTGCTGATGTTAAGTGTGTAAAGGTAAGAACCTTCAGTTATTTATATTTGTTGTATACTAAAATAAATAAATAAAAAGTGTGTAGTAAAAACATCTGGCTTCGTTCAAATATGACCTAAACTTTTCTGTATTTGTGAATATTGTTTTTTATGTGAATATAAAATATTTATATATTTTTTGTTAGTATGCATAACGATTGTATGTACTCAGATGGGCAGATGTATCACGTAGTATTTTAATATTGTGACATAATTTCTTTTTGTTGTTTTAATTTTAAAAGATATGTTGGGTATAAATAGTTTGTGACTAATTTTTGTAATTAGTTTATTTGCATTTGGCCAATAGACAGGATTTTTGTAGTGTTACAACTAAATAGTGGATTTACATGGAGGAATTGATTCTGTGGCTCAAATACACCATGAATTATAGATTTAAAATAAGACCCAAAATCGAGCACTTTCGAATAGTTGACTATTCTTCTTTGTTCTCCTGAAGAAGATAGTCAACTATTCGAAAGCGCTCGAGTTTTGGGTCTTATTTTAAGTCTATTACACCTTATATGTGATCCTTTGTGCTAACTCTTTTATGAAAACTATGAATAATAGCATATTTTCATTATGTGAGAAATTAGCAGGAAGAAAAAACTTTCTTTGCATTCTTATACTATGTTGGAAAATCCTAAGCATCTCATGGTTGGTAGGAAATTAACCATTTTTTGTCTCAGACATTCAGTTACACCTAGGCCTTATCTTGCAGTAATCTCTCATTTCTTATGTGCAAGGTATTTGTCATACAGTTCTCTCTGTCTCACCAGTGTGTGGGGGAGCAGCTTGTACACTTGTAGTTTATGCTTATTTGTAAGTGCAAGATCTTTGTGAATTGTCTCGTGCATGTTGAATAAGATATGTTCAATGTGTTAGCAGTCACTGTCTAGATGGTCAAAGAAGGGTGTCCCTTGATGACCAGTCTGTACACTTCACCAGTTGTAGTGGCAGTCCTGTGTGAAGTGGCTATGTTGATGTGATGTTCTTCCTGTGCTGATACTATTTACTACGTTATAGGTAGTCATCTTTGAAATTGTTATGTTCTGAGCTTTGCATTACTTGGATGTACAAATATCCTTCCTGAGAAGGGACTGTGACGTATCATTCTGTCATAAGTCTACTCATAGCAACATTGCACTGTCATATGATCGGGAATTTCTATGAACCAAATGTATATTTGTTAAACAAAGTTTTGCACCTGTGTCAAGAAGCAACTGCACTAATGTATAAATGATTCTTTTAAAGTATAATTAACCCTCTGTAGTTAGGTGCCTCTCATTATCACTTGTACCAAACATGCAAAAATTTAAATCAGAAAAAAAAAAAATTTTGCTATGCTACTAAGCTTTTTTTGATGTGAGTCTTTGGTAGATATTCTTTATTTTTTGTCCTTTCAGATTATAATCCAAAATCAAATTAATTGTTTTTTTCTGGATCACATTCTTTTTCTCTCCTTATGTCTATCTAAATCATAAATGAATTTTATTAATATTGTAACAAATAAGCATCATGCTATGTTTTTATCCATTATTCAATTTCAGTTGATTTCTGAGTTATAGTGTTTGTGTAGTGTAATTGTTTATTGGGCTAGTTATGATATGTTTTTATTATTGTAAGTTATTTGTGACAATTTGAAGGTTTAGTAAGTGTAATGGGAGTGAAAACCAATGAAGTTTTTGTTATGACTTTAAACTATATCAATTAAGAAACTAACTGCTTAGTTTTAATCAGTTATTAACACAGACTTAGTTTATCAGTAATCAAAATGTGATTATTGTGGTTGCTATGTTACTTAGGATACCAAAGATGAAGTTTCACCATTAAAGTCCAAACAGAAGAACATCTCACCACCGAATAGTCTGTCTTCTAACTTTGTACCCAAAAAGGTCAATTTCTCCACTTCAGGTCTGTCTAGGGCTGATCGGGGTCTACGAACCAGGTCATTGGTTCTCCCAGAAACTGTCACCTCTTCCTCTCTAGATGATTCTGACAAAATCTGTAATGTTCCTCGTTCAGATAGAGAGATAATGAACCTACAATGGCCTTTGTTTCAAGATGGGAAATTGGTAAAGAGGTTAAATCTGAGTCATGTGTCTCGGAAATCTTTGAATAGATCTTTGAGAAGTTCTATTTTCTTATTCCTTATACTCAGTTATATATTTAATATGTAGTTAACCATTTGTTGAATGTAATGTATAGGAAGTAAAAATTGAAATTCTATTATTATTATACACTTCTAATTCTTGAAAATCTCTACAGGACTAGAATAAGAATGTAGTGTTTAAAAATGTAATAGGCCTAATACTAATGTCTAATGATAAGTATAATTTTAATCAGTCTTTGCCAGCTTGTTGTATGAAATGGCTTATATAAAATGTGTTCCAACCACTACTGTGTTTTTTGTATTCCAGCTGGTATGAAAAGCTGTGGATTGAGAAAAGCGCATCGTCGGCAGTGGATATGACAAATATAGTGTGGTTTGAATACTATTATTATACACTATTCTAATTGTTAAAAATCCCTAAGGGTCTAAGGACGTAGTTCTTAAAAATGTAATAGGCCTAATACTAATGTCTTATGACATGTATAGTTGTAAAAATTACATGTTATAACATATACTGAAGTGCTTAAAGTGTGACAGTAGTAATGGCTAATTATTCAATCTTCATTGGGCACCTTAGATACCCTGATGTTTCCTTTGATATTCTTTGACAACTATTTAATGTGTGAAAGTCTTGTGTATCACAGATGGCCCATTTTAGTCTTTCATATCTAACTAAAACAGACAATAAACAAGGTATCCTTTGTTTCATCTTCTAGAATATTTTTCTAAATTTTGTTCAAGCAGAATACTTTTTTGTGTAGATACTTTGTGGGGATTCACATCAAGTTGCTAAAATATTTAATGTTGTGGGAAGATACAGTGTTTACAATTTCAATGTCATATTTGTAAACATTCACAAATAAATGCTGTGCAGATATCTTGAAGTTTTCTTTATTTCATCAAATTTCAAGAAAGAAAAGCCTTTTATTACCACTGTCAC